TTTTTTTTTTTTTTTGTTAGTTTCAGTTGTTACAGAATGATATATATTATAGTGTTATGGTTGGTTTTTCCAATCATAATAAATAAAAATGATTTAAACATTTTTTTAATTTTATGAAAAATTAAGAAATTCCAATAAAAAACTTAGAAATAGTGCACCCAAAGAAAAACCTCAATCAAAATTGAAAGAGAAATTTTATCAAGGGTTTATGATAATGTTTTATTAATACGAACAAAATAACTATTCTTATAAATAATTATTGTTCAAGACAAGAAAAAAAAATATCATATTGATAAATATATCATTGATTCAATAGTAATGATATATTTATCAAATTGAACAATGAATTTATTATATAGATCGAGGTTTTTCTCTGGGTGTATGCTAGTTTGTATTAAGTCTTCCTGGTACAAGGGCACCGATAGAGAGACTACTTTCACATTGCAATAAATATTGAACATCCAAAAAATCTCAATTACATGTTTCAATATTGAATTCAGTAATGCTGGTTTTTAAAAACTATGATGAAAATTGTAACAAAATGTTTAAATCCTTAAAATCGGACACTGAGTTACTCAAAGTAATTCATGGATCTCAAAAATATATTATGTTTAAATTAAAAATACAGTCATGAAGGACACATGTTATTAAATTAAACAAAATTAATTAATTAATTTAAACATATTATTACATTTTGTATTTATGCATTTGGACACTTAATACTAATGCCATAATGGTGCTGATATAAACAAATAATAAATTATAAAAGTGAGTTAGTCTTACGCTCACATTAGCTGTCCTCACATTGCATTCAATAGCCTTCCTCCATCTCTTTTTTGGTCTTCCTCTACCTATTCTTCCTTCAACATTTATTTCTATAATTGCTCTTACAGCTTCCGATTCTTCTCTCCTCATAATACGACTTAAGCATCTCAATCTAATAAAAAAAAACCGCTCTTTTGCACAACTGACCTTAAATACTTAAAACTCTCCACCTCTCCAATCACCCTTTTCTTCAAGAGCTGATCTCCACACCTCTAGCCTTTGATTAATTTCCTCCCTATTTTCTATTATTAACACTATATCGCCAGCAAACAACATGCACCACGGCAAATCTTCTTGTATTCCTCTAGTAATTTCATCCATCACTATAGAGAATAAGTAAGGGCTTAAAGCAGAACCTTAGTGCACTCCTACTTTTACCCGAAAACCTTTTGATACTCCTCCTACGCTTTTTACCCTGGTACAAGTACCATCTTACATATCTTCTATTATATTAATGTACCTTTTCGGGACTCCTTTTCTCATTAATGCCCACTTTAAAACCTCTCTCGGTACTCTGTCATACGCTTTCTCCAAATCTATAAATACCATACACAGCTTTTTCTTCTTTTCCCTAAGCTTTTCTATTAGTTGCCTTACACAAAATACTGGCTCCATTATTGACTTACCAGGTATAAATCCAAACTGGTTTTTAGATACCGATGTCTCAATTCTTATTCTCTTATCTAGTACACAATATATCTTATAAGGTATTATGTGCAGTATATCAATATAAATAATTATTTAAACACCAAGAGTTGCATAGAAATGCTTTGTAAGACTTACAGTGACGAGCAAAAGTGAACACAACTACCAAAATTTTTGGAAAATTAGCATTTTCAAAACTAAAAATATAAATTTAATTTAATAAATTTTTGAATCCATATTCTAGGGGTTCAAAAAAAAGTTTATGCACAAAAAATAGTCACGAAAAAGATAAAAGTCCTGAGATTTTGTTTATTTAAAAATACTCACTTTTGCACCTATTATTAATACAACGTAAAAACCCAAATCGTAGTGCGTGTCTTTGACTTGCTATTTTTAGGATGTCTAGAGAAAAGAGTTTTTCACTCTTGATTTGTTTACATTTCTTTCTATTACAAAAAGAATATTCTATTTCTATTTTAATCAGTCTTTCGTAGGAAAGGAACCAACATGAAAATTACTCCTCAAAAAACAACACAAATTGTTTCGATACTAAAATCGGGTCAATCAACCAGAGAAGTGGCTCGACAGTGTTGCGTCAGCCAAACGACAGTGCAAAAAATAAAAAATATAGGTTGTCCTAACGCTTTACCTCGACTAAAAGGAAGACCTAAGTGTTCTACCCCACAAGATAGACGAAGACTTGCTCACTTTTTACAAATGGGAGAAGCATCTTCATCTTCAATGGCGGCCAATCTATTACAACAATACACGGGGAAAAAAGTAAGCAGGTGGACAGCTTCGAGAATTCTCAAGGAACAAAATTTTCTGTGTGCCGAAAAAAAGAGAAAACCCGCAATTTCCAAAAAAAATATGAAGGCTAGGTTAAAGTTTGCTAAAGATTATAAACACTGGACAGAAAAAGACTAGAGGAGGGTGATATGGTCGGATGAAACCAAAATTAATAGATACTGCTCTGACGGAAGGTCCTGGTTCTGGAAAAGGACTGGCAAGAGTCTTAAACCATCCCATATCAAGCAGACGGTCAAGCATGGTGGAGGATCTGTCATGCTATGGAGCTGTTTTACTGCATATGGACCCGGACCCATTCATAAAATTGTTTCTACTATGGATCAATATATGTATAAAAATATTCTATCAAGAAATTTGCAAGGTGTGGTCGCAAAAATGCCAATACCAAACAATGAAGTCATTTTTCAACAGGATAATGACCCTAAGCATACAGCGAAATCCGTTAAACAATGGCTTGCCAATAAAAAATTGAAAACTATAGACTGGCCAGCTCAAAGTCCCGACCTGAACCCAATAGAAAATTTTTGGGCATATTTAAAAAAAAAATTATACAGTGAGTACCACGGTCCACCGACTTCACTCGACAATTTGTGAGAAAGAATTAGAGAAGAATGGACAAAAATTGATGTGGACTACTGCGAGTCATTGATCAACAGCATGCCACGAAGGATGGAAGCAGTGATAAAAGCTAAAGGCTTGTGGACAAAATATTAACGCTAGAATATATTTATAATAATTACCGGTGCAAAAGTGAGTACTTTTAAAAATTCATTTTCTAGAAATTCGCTACTTATTGTTTGTATTTTTTCAGCTAATAAACTTTAATTTTGTTATACAAATACATTTATTTCATTGATTAATATAATTATACATGTGTTGTTTTTTTATAACCTTATTTCTCAAAATTTTCTTATTAGTGTTCACTTTTGCTTGTCACTGTATATTTAAACAATTTATTACAATAAAAAATAAATAAAACATTTTTAACGAAATTTTGAGTTTTCCTCATAAAATTATTTATATAGTAATTAAATAAGTTTCTGATCACATATGAATCGAAAAAAAACCCATCACGGGGGGGTCGTGGCACAGTGGTGACGTGGCATAGTTGGGTCAAGTATAATGATATCTGACAGTGATTAAAATCACTATCATAAAAAACGCTTAGATGCAAATCTGTAAATAGTGTTTAATTTTAAAAAATTGGTGGATTATTCCAAAAGCTACTTGATCAGCTAGTTTCTTATTAATATCCTGATTAAGATAAAGTATATCGAATAAGAAAGGGATATAAATATTATTTCTCATAAAAAAATTGTGTTGATCCATACACTTTTCAATAAGTTTTAGCATTATGAAGTTAAAAATGTAAAAAATAAAATCGAGAATTTTCACACAAAAATAGCATTCGGTAGCCATTTTCACCATAAAGATAAAATAAAGTCCGAATTTTTTTTTTTTCATAATAAAGTAAATTACATTATCTTTAATTTAAGATATATATAGATGTGTCAGACTTTCCGAAACACATTCAAAAGTTAAGTATAAAAGTAAATTTTTTGTGAAAAAGTTGTCATTTTAAATCCCTTCCTGTTTACAGATAAAGTGTCAGATTAATAAAAAAAATATACAAAATGATCGTTAAAAACATCATGCATTCATAAAAAAAAGAATTATATTGATCCACACATCTTTCAAAAAGTTATAGCATTATTAAGTAAAAAATATAAACAAAGAATTATTTTACAAAAATCGTAATTTTTTTATTAACTTTGATGTCTATTTTCACCACGAAGACAAGTCCAGAGGTCAAATTTTTTTTTTTCATAATAAATTATATTACATTACCTTTAATTTAAGATATAAATAAGATTGTCAGACCTGTCCGAACACTTTCAAAAGTTACGTTGAAAAATATATCGAATGATAGGTAGAGACATCATGCATCTATAAAAATTATATTGATATCATTTAAAAAAAACCCAGCACAGTGGGGTGGCGTCACAGTGGGGTCGTGGCATAGTTGGATCCAGTATAGATGATATCTGACAGTGATTAAAATCACTATCATAAAAAACGCTTCGATGCAAATCTGTAGATAGTGTTTAATTTAAAAAAAAAATTTGTTAAAATAGCATATTTTTGAATACGGTAGCCATTTGTGCATAGAAGATAGGTCGTCGGAACAAATTTTTTTTTTTATTTTATAGTACATAAAATAAGCTTTAATTTGATATATGTTTAAAGGACGCAGTATTTCCGGAACATTTTCAAAAGTTCAGTTGAAAAAGATCTATGTTTTTTACAATATTTTAAGTTTTGAACGCCCCCTATATAAGGGGAAATTGTCCAATTTTAATAAAAAGTATGTCAAATGAAAGATGTACTTATAATGTATTTAGAAAAAAAAAATTTGTGCTGATATATACATTTTTCAAAAAGTTATAGCATTTTTAAGTTGAAAATTTAAAATCGAAAATCGAAAATTTTAACACAAAAATAGTGTTTTTTTAACTACGGCAGCCGTTTAAATGTAGAAAAAAAAGTGTCGGGACAAATTTTTTTTTTTCATTTTATAGTACATAAAATAAGCTTTAATTTGATATATGTTTAAAGGACGCAGTCTTTCCGGAACATTTTCAAAAATTAAGTTGAAAAAATTAATTTTTGTAAAAAAGTTGCCATTTTAAATCCCCCCCAATGAGCAGGTTAAGTGATAGATTTTCAAAAAAATTATATCAAATAAAAGGAAAATATCTAAGGTTTCAATACAAAAAAATATTATTTTTATTTGTTCATTTTTGAAAAAGTTATGGCAGTTTTAAGTACAAAAATCATCCCGATAAAAGATGATTTTTATCGCAAACATTACATTTTTTTTTAATTTTCGACAGCCATTTGCACATAGAAGATAAGATGTCGGGACAAATTTTTTTTTTTCATTAAATAGTATATAACATAATCATTGATTTGATATATGTTTAAAGGATGCAGTATTCCCGGAACAATTTCAAAAGTTTAGTTGAAAAAGATCTATGTTTTTTACAATATTTCAAGTTTTGAACGACCCCTATATAAGGGGAATTTGTCCAATTTTAATAAAAAGTATGTCAAATAAAAGATGTACTTATAATGTATTTAGAAAAAAAAAATTGTGCTGATATATATTTTTTCAAAAAGTTATAGCATTTTTAAGTTGAAAATTTAAAATCGAAAATCGAAAATTTTAACACAAAAATAGTGATTTTTTGACTGCGGCAATCGTTTACATGCAGAAGATTAAGTGTCGGGACAAATTTTTTTTTTTAATTTTATAGTACATAAAATAAGCTTTAATTTGATATATGTTTAAAGGACGCAGTATTTCCGGAACATTTTCAAAAATTAAGTTGAAAAAGTTACTTTTTGTAAAAAATTTGCAATTTTAAATCCCCCCCATGAGCAGGTTAAGTGTTACATTTTCAAAAAAATGATATCAAATGAAAGGGAAATATCTAAGGTTTTAGTTTAGAAAAAAATTATGTTGATTTGTTGTTTTTTGAAAAAGTTATGGAAGTTTTAAGAAAAAAAAGTGAAAAAAATGACAAAATTTATCGATTTTTAAATTTGTAATTTTTTTGGATATTTCCCCCATTTGCGGGGAACGAGGGAAAATTTTTAAATTTTTAAGGGTAATGTCTTCAACTAGATACAATTTGTGATCTTTTGACGTATTGTTAAAAGAAATCGGTCCAGTGAGAGCTGAGAAAAAGNATGTCTTCAACTAGATACAATTTGTGATCTTTTGACGATTTTTTGAAAGAAATAAGTCTAGTGAGAGCTAAGAAAAAGTAGTGACAGACACAAAAAAAAAAAAAAAATTAAAAAAATTAACACATCATGGTAAAATTAATTTGCATCGAAGCTAAAAAAAACACATCATAGTAAAATTAATACCTTCTCAGGTTCGCATCGAAGCTAAAATTATGGCAGTCTTATAAAAGTCATATTTATAAAAAAAATGTATCAAATGATAGGTACAAACAACATGCATCTATAAAAAAAAATTATATTGAAAAAATTAAAAAAATGTCAAAAATTAGCAATTTTTAAATTTGTAATTTTTTTGGAGATATCCCCTATTTACGTGAAACGAGAGAAATTTTTTCAATTTTTGAGGGTAATGTCCTCGACTAAATACGATTTGTGATCTTTTGACGTATTTTTGAAAGAAGTCAGTTCGGTGATAGCTGTGAAAAACTGGTAACAGACACAATAAAATACACATCATAGTAAAACTAATACCTTCTCAGCTTCGCAAAAAAGCTAAAATATTATAATTAAAAATAAACAAAGATTTTTCATAAACATAATAAATTTATATTTTGTTAGCACACATCTAAACACGAACGCGGTATTTATAGATATACACATTACGATAAATAATGAAAAAAATTGGCAATTCTAATTTTATTTATGCATTGTAGCTTTGTGTTTTTACATTATATGATATGAATCTTGGACTTATTATCTTAACATTATCCTTAATTCAATACAATAATTCTTCAAAATTCAAGCAATTTCAATACTTAAATTATTTAAATGAAGTTGTAGATCATATGTGTACTCAAAATGGATGGAAGTCTATGGAAAACTTATACTTAAACATTGATCCGATGGGAAATATAAATGTTCCAGATTTAATAGGACGACAATTGGACAGAAGTAATTTGCTTATTACTTTCTATAATATTGTTCATATTTTAAACTACAATTATAACGAAGTACTTCTAATATTCGTTAAATTGTTAAACGTTATTGTTGATAAATGTAAACACTTTTTGGACACCGAATTATTAGACAATTTTTTTAATTGTACTAAAGTACTCGAAAAATCAGTAAAAGATTCATTGAAAATGTTTGAGAATTTATATAATGCTATTACATTCATAAGATATATAGACTTAAACTTGAAAAATCTAAAAGTTGATGAGTTACAAAGTTATCTGTATACCACAGATGACGACATTTATCAGATAAAAAACCACAATTTTTTTAAAAATGTACAAGACGAGAAATATTATGATTATCATCAAATATTTCTTGATGTTAGAAATTTCATTGATAATGTATTTAAAATTGCAAATAATTTTTTTGAGAAATATAAATTTATTCAAAATATTTATGAGAATGATGATTGCAAAATGATATGTGAAATAGAATATTCATCACAAACGATAGATTCACAGGAATTTATTTCATTCATGTATCAAAAGGTCAATTCGTTTTACACTGAAACCCTAAAGAAAAATTACGAGGATCTTGGATTTATTCAATTGATAAATCCAACAATTGATAAGTAAGTATAACTTATTTATTGAGTTCTATATTTATGAGTATTTTCTATTTTAGTTATAAAATAAAAGTAATTTTATTAAATATATTTTAAAATATGTACAGTGGTGGTTAGTGGGTGCTGGTGTTGGGGATGAGATTTAAAATATAATACCATTAGTCTTAGGTATAAAAAATTGTCAAATTAAATATAATAAAATAAATCATAATACACATATTATTATTCTAAAGGTCGCAGTAGAAAATCGATAAGAAAATAATAATAATTGCAATTATACAATTATAGCAACTGATAACTATGATCGTACATACAGTTAATTCTAATAATAAATATCCCAATATAGTAATATATAATAATATTTTACCGTATGGATGACGCAGCCGGTTGTTTAAACACTTCTCGTATGTTTATGCGTACTCACAATACTGAGGAAAACACCTTTAATGCTCGCACATGACAAATGTATTATAACTATCTTACTATTTAAAAAATTTTATTTTCAATAAAAATATAAAATTAAGAATATACAATTAATTTTCTTCTTTTAATTAATTTTAATAGTGGGTGCGATTTTCCGTCGTCCAATCCTTGAGCTATCACTGAATATGTGTATAAATTATATATAATATAAAGATTTTTTACTTTTTCAATCAAAATTGATTGTATGTATAATTTGATCTTGTAATATCAAATAGCAACACAACAAAATAGAAACAGATTTTTCTATTATAAATATTATTCTTAAATTGATTGCAAGAAGTAATTTATGTACTAAATTGTGATTTTGAGTATTGATAAAAATGTTGCTAATAAATAAATATTGAATATATTGTTAACATGTTCATACAAAAACTTTACGTACTAAGTTTGTATGAAAAACATATTCATATTAAGTGTAATAAAACTTTTTATTTATATTACATCAAAAAATATAAAATAGATTTTGTGTTTTATTTTATTACTTTTTTATTGAATAATTATTTAAAAACATAATTACAACTAATTTATTTTCTAAGTGAATTTCGGTTTTAATATATTGATAGATATTTAATAATACATTATACAAATAAAAAGTTTTAAAGTTAACTAAAATAGTTTTATAGTGTGAAAATTAGAATTTCCAAAGGTGGGTGGTATAGTAGTTCAGATAAAAATGTTAAATGAGGGATATAGTTATTTTAATTTATATAATAAATAGGTGTTGGTGAGTAAGCGCTATTGTTTCTGATAACATATTGATATGATTCAATACGATGTACGAGATCTACTGTGATCGAGTTACAATTAAATAAAATGAATTTTTCTAAATTACGAAAAGTCGGTATTATATTGTGTGACAAGCAGCATGATGTAGATTATTTATTGTTTTAAATGTTTTTCTGTCGTTCTAAAAATTCAAATTAAATAAAAAATATTCACGAAATATTAGAAATATTTATTTATGGGATGTACAAAATATATTGGTTTATATCATTTTATGCAGCTCGACAGCTCCACAAAATGTGTTGAATTTTATTAATGATAAAAGTAAAAACAATAAATTTCTAGAATATTATTTCAATCTATTTTTAGGCATTTATTCATTTAATTATTTCATGGAAACTATTCCTTTTTATACAGTTAATTAGTCAATTATCTGTGTTAAGTCCTATGTAACTATCGTTATCAACATGTACGTGGACGGTCGTTGACCACCACTTTTAATTAAGTCAGTCGGCGACGTGCCTTCTTAGCGTAGAGTTGTAATTTAAACGAATAAAAGTTGATATATTAAAGTTCAAAGTGTTACTTAAAATTTAAATATAATAAAACCCCAAAAATCTGTTCAACCAGAAAAAAGACATACAGTCCACAACATGGTCCTCCGGCCACGGATTTTTGGTTAATAATTAACGAAAAATTTAAATTTTAAGTGCGAAAATAATAAATACGTAATATAGTGCAACGTGTCATTTGGATTACCAAAAGTTTACCCTTTCAAGAAAGTGGATAAAATTCAAAAGGCCAGTCGAAAGGTAGAAAAATTAAAATATATTCCTTTTATTAATAAATTTATTCCAAAATTTCCTAAAAGAAATAAAAGAATATATTGTAAGGTTTTAAATAGTATTGTAAGGTCGTTTTTTTATGTTGGTATTTACCCGGTTGATAGTTATGTTTATCAGGTGGGAATAGTTATAAATCGGCGCGTATACTCTACGCGGAAAGTATATATATATATATAGGTGGGTTTAAAAGGTTATTATAACATCTCGTATGTGGGGATAGGATACTATAGTAAATAGTAGTAACAGAGTAGGAGTTACATTGCTGAATATCAGCTGTTAGTAGTATTAAACTTCACATCGCGTTCTCACTTACCTTCGACATGGGGGAAACGAGCATTAATCTTGCGCAGCGCAGAGGACAATTAAAAACGTCTTTAATAAAATTCGAAAAATATTTGAGTAGCGGAAAAGTCTCAATAGAGCAAATACCATTTCGGATAGAAAAAATAGAGGCTGTTTGGTCAGAGTTCGAAGTAATTCAAGGAGCTATAGAGCTCGAAGAAGAGATAAATATGGAGGAGCAAGATATATATAGAGAGGAATGTGAAGAATTATTTTTTAGAACATTAGCCAAAGCAAATAAATTAATTGGTAGAGTAAGTTCGTCAAAGGCTGAAAATAGAGAAATCAAAGAAAATCAATATAGCTGTCAGCAAAGTTCTTGTGGTCAAACAAATAAATTTATTTCTCACGTTAATTTAGCTCTCATAAGTATTCCAGTATTTACTGGCGAATACAGTGAATGGAAACCTTTTTATGATTTATTTTCTAAACTTATACATGTTAATGCGGATCTATCAGATATTCAGAAATTTTGCTATTTACGCTCATCTTTATCAGGAGAGGCAGCAAATATTATTAAAAGTTTAGAAACAACAGCGAATAATTATGAAATCGCGTGGATAATGTTAAAAGAGAGATATGACAATAATAAGTTAATAATTCAAACCCATGTGAAAGCTATTTTTGAGCTAGGAATGGTGCATCAAGAGTCTGCTGTTAAAATAAGAGAATTTTTGGATTCTTTAGTCTGTCGTATTAGTGCATTAAAAATGTTAGAAGAAAAACCTGAAGAATGGGGGCCGATGTTAATGCATTTAATTTGTACTAAGCTTGATAGAAATACGCTAAGTAGATGGGAAGCAGAATCACCCCAAGATAGAATAGCACGTGTATCCGAATTTATTACATTTTTGGAAAATAGAGTAAAAGTATTAGAAGCGGTAGAAGCGTCAAAAAATATTTATTCGCGAGGTAACCAACAACTTGGTAACCAAAATATGTTTATCAAACAAAATAAGTATAGATCAGCTGCGGTAACAACTACACAAGGATTAAAATGTTATGTTTGTGAGTTGCCACATACAATATACCGCTGTCCACAGTTTATTTCATTATCAATTGCGGATAGAATTAAAAAGGCAGTGGCACTCAAACTATGTAAAATTTGTTTGAGACGGCATAGTGAAAGATGTACAGCGCGTTATTGTTTAAAGTGTTCAAAACCACACAATGTATTGTTGCATTTAAATATAACTCTAAATCAGGAAATAAAAGTAGATAATAATACTACAAACGATAATTCAGTAGTCTCAGATAACGTATCAACGAGCGCTATTGCAGCTGCTCAATTACACGAACAAGTGTTGTTGTCAACAGTAGAAGCTTATGCAGGTAATGTTAAAGGTGGAAAAGAAAAATGTAGAATTTTGCTGGATTCTGGTTCACAGTGTAACTTTATAAGCGAGTATATGGTACAATCATTAAGGTTGCGTAAATCGCGAGTACACCACAGTATCATTGGCATAGGAGGTACTAAAAAAAATATTACTTCATCGGTTACAGTAGTAATTACATCGCGCATTAGTTTATTCAAAATAGAAGTACAATGTTTAGTTGTTCCTAAGATAACAGGATTTATTCCGTCGAATAATATAAAAAGTAAATGTTTTATTCCGGAAGGTATTCAATTAGCGGATCCGTCTTTCACAGTACCGCAAAAAATAGACTTATTACTCGGAGCAGGTCACTTTTTTGATGTTTTATGCGCGGGTAAAATTAAACCGTACGAGGACGGACCAATATTTCAACAAACGCAGTTTGGTTGGGTAATTGCAGGAGTGGTAAATCCGGGCTGTAGTCAAGCGTATCATTCTATTAGTTATTCGGCAGTGATTGATCACGAAAATCAATTAGAAAATATGTTATCTAAATTTTGGTGTTTGGAAGAAGTAGGAACAGCCGCGCCTCTAACGTTAGAAGATAAAAAATGTAAAGAGTTTTTCGAAAATACGGTTAAGCGAGACGATGTCGGTAGATTTATGGTTTATTTACCTTTTAAAGAAGGGGAAAATTATAAATTAGGCGAATCATACGAGATAGCAAAAAAGAGATTTTTAAATATGGAAAGAAAGTTGCAAAAAGACGAAAAGTTAAAAGAGGAATATAGTAAATTTATGAAAGAATACGAAATATTGGGTCATATGCAGAAAATTAGTGAAAAGAAACCCATAGTTGGGGAACATATATGTTACTTACCGCACCACGCTGTATATAATTATAATAGCACAACAACACGACTTCGTGTGGTATTCGATGCGTCGTGTAAAACGTCATCTGGTAAGTCACTGAATGACGTACTATTAAAAGGTCCCGTCTTACAAGACGATATGATTTTTATTTTAATACGTTTTAGAAAACATAGAGTTGCTTTAACTGCAGATATAAAAAAAATGTATCGACAAATTAATTTAGCTCCTGAACATTGTGATTACCAGAGAATATTGTGGAGAGAAAATCCAACAATGCCTATAAGAACTTATAAATTAACAACAGTCACATATGGTATGAGTCCTTCGTCGTTTTTAGCAACTGCTTGTTTACGTACTTTAGCTAGTCAGGAAGAAAATTATTATCCATCAGCTTGTTCTGAAATAAAAAATAATTTTTACATGG